CACTCTTTGTCTCTTTCCCTCTGGATTTACAATCTAATTGTAATTAGGGAAATTCTACAGTATTTTTGAAAAATAAGGATTTTGGTACTGTGAGAGATCCTCTATTTCTTGGTGTGTTCAATCTCATTCAATTATGTTTAAAAACCAACTAGCTGTTTCTAAAACCCTCATATTTATCTGAGTACCGTAACAACTCTCTTATGATTATTAGATTATTCTAATTAATAATAACTACATGCATATTTTGGACATTATACAAGCTAAGTAGTTCTCATAAATTGAGTATTCTTCTCATCATGAGTAACAATTGCTTGTATTTTTACATCCACATCTAAATTTCGTCTTATGGTACGGTACCTAACATGTTTTGAATCACATTTGTCCTCCTTAGTCAATGGTTTAATTTAAGATTATTGCCAAAAAATAATCAATTAAATCACTTTACAGATTGGATTGATTTCACTTCAGCTCATTCAAAAGAGTTCGCAATAAAATAATTTCTTATCTATAGATGAACAAACAAAGGAGGAACACGTCTTTACCTTTCTTTAACATAATTGGAGTTGGAGAAATATATTGCAGAATCGACTCTTACAATCAGTACACCAGGAACCTTACTAGCTTCTGGATATTGTTGGATGTTTCTATAGACAGTTGTCCTAGGAATCTTCCCCAGAATAGCAGTTCGGGGCCTTGTGACTTGTAGTAGAATCTTTGCAAAGGATATGGAGACCTACCACAGCATGTAGCAATTAATATAGTAATGAACAAGACTAATCAGAAATTTCTTTGACATTTTAGAGCTTAAGATAACTAAGCATCAATTTTAGTACTTACAGCAATCAGAAGTCCTATCTCAACTGAGTGAAAAACAACCCCAAGAAATGCACCCATGCAAGCAATAAAATCAATTTTATCTATCTTCCAAATCAAAATTGCTGCTTCATAGTCTACAAGGTTGATGACAGCAGAAATGATGATGGCAGCAAGAATGGCATTTGGAGTGTACTTAAAAAGAGGAGTGATGAATTCCAGGGTTAAGAACACAACTGCTGACATCACTATATTGGAGACTGCAGTTTGGCAGCCAGCCATGTAGTTTACTGCTGACCGAGAGAAAGAACCTGAAGGTAACAAGAAGATAGATCAGAGTCTAAAAAACTTTATAAAGACTTGACCATGAGATATTATATATTGTCCCAATTCCCAAATTCTCTTCATTAAACTCGGTGGAAATAGATCCAAATTTATCTGCTTAGTTTTTTCTTTCTCCATTTTTGTTTGATATATATTTCGAAGCTAAAAGTAGATAGATGTTATCAGACATAACCACTCATTACATGAACTTGTAATTGATGACAAAAAGTACATATTAAGATTCATAAATCTTGTCTTCTAGCTTACCAGTTGCTACATAACACGAAGTCATCGAACCAACAACATTCATTGCTCCTAATGCTACCATTTCTTTGTTTCCATCCAGTTGATAGTCCTTCATAGATGCAAATGTTCTTCCAATTGCTGTGGCTTCCTGAGGCAACCAAAATGTAACGGAATAATTACAACTACAGGAGTAGATGAACAAATACTCCCTCAAGAGCGGTATTGGTATCAAAGTTACTTACAGTCAATGCTATCATGCCTGCCACGATGCCAATTTTAAAAGCTTTTCCAAGGTATTCACCGCTTAAATAAAGTTCTTTAACTGATGATGGATTGATTCCTCTTTCTATTTTTCTTACCTTCACATATCAATAGACAAAAACTTCAGTAACTAATATTATGCCACTCTTACCATCACTTGGACATAAAATACGCTAATAATCTGCAATATTTAAGATGATAATAGAAATCTATATACTTACAATTTCTACTCCTTGCTTATCTGCACGGGTTATGTATACAAAAAAAGTGGACAAGATAACGGATATCAATGGAGCAATTGCTGGCACCCAGAAGAATCTGGTGTTTTTCTTTCCCTGATCGACGTAATATGAAATAATGAGAAAACAATTTATGAAATCCTAAGCATTAATTAGGGAATAATAGCGAAATGAATTAGGGGGCGTTCTAATGCCTTACAATATATTTGGCGAACAGAAGAAAACCCAAAAAGCTAGCTCCGATTACTATAGTTTGCCAGTTCCACTGCATGATGATAGGTGTTAATTAAATTATTAATCAAAATATTGTTTCAACATACGCAAACACCATAGTTAGAAGTTTTAATTTTAGGCACGGACTTTTGACTCCTGCTAATCAACAATTTTCATGTATATTGAGAGAGAGAGAGAGAGAGAGAATACTCCGTGATGGGCTGTTGAGAATACTGAATGCAGCACAGAGACAATATCAGTGTTCTTTGTGAACTGAGTAGTTTTAATGCCAAGGAAACCCTTAAGCTGCTGAAGGGCAATTGTGATAGCAGCACCCCCCATAAAACCCACGATAGCAGCATGGGATAGGAAGTCAATCAAGAATCCAAGCCTGAATGAAAAAAATAATAAAATAGAAACCAATGCAACCATAAAATATTATGGTGTATATCAAACAGTAACATTCGTTGCAGCTGGTAGCACAATAGCAGTAGCATAAGGCATAAATTTTATGACAAAACTTAGTCGCAGTACATTTCTCCGATTAGAATTACAATTTCACTTTGATAACATTCATTTATCTTTAATGTAGTATCAATAATATATATTTTTTATATTATTAAAATAATATTTCAATTCTAATTAGAAAAAAGTATCAACAATATCTATAATACTATAATAAGTTGTGCTAGATTTTAGTGGACGAAATATTTAAATGCAAAGTCCCTTCTAGAACATTAAGGGGTAGTGTCAATGTCATACCTAAGTATACCAAGCGTTGCTTGAGTAATCCCAGCAAAAAAAGTGGCTGTAAAAGCTAGTCGCCGATATTCTTCTGCATGTGTTTTAGGATCAATCTCATTACTAAGTAAGGTCCCCAACAAGAGAGAAACCACTGCCACCGGTCCAATAGCAATATCACGAGAGCTACCCATGACAGCATAGATCAGTGGTGGAACAAAACTGGAGTCTGTATAGAAAGAACAAAATGCAAAAGGATCTCAGTCCAACATCCAGAGAAAATTACACGTGGGCAACTTAAACTGTTTGGTGAGAGGCAAGAAGAGTCTTACACAGTCCATACTGTGGAGGCAAATTTGCAAGCTTGGCGTATCCAATATCCTGTTTTTTGAAGCCAAGTATTAGAAGTTGGAGCCTCCAAAATGGAGCATGTAATATGAATTATTCTCCTTTAAAAGTTTGAAATCAACAATACTTACCTGAGGAATGCAAAGACTAGCAATAGTGAGACCAGATATTATATCCCCTTTAAATTTTTTAAGGTTGTAACTTCTCCCCCAATTAAGTATTGGGAATATGGCCTCAATACCGAGGATGAGCTTCTTTGATTTAGTTTGATCTTTGAAGGGTCTTAGAGGATCATCAGCAAATAATGTTTCTTTTATAGTGTCTTTGAATTCGTTGAAGAGGTTCTGTCTTGGAGGAATTGCCACTTTGTGGGCTTGTGGTGCCTGACCATGTGAAGAAGATGACATACTTCTCAGATCAACCTGTTTTATTTCAAGATTTTCATCAGCAGGAGGACCCATCGAAGACATCAACTGCGACCTTCAATCTGTAATACTGGGAAAAGTCATAACCAGATATATTGGAAAATAGAAATGACATCAATGAGTGTGATTTAGTAATCACAACAATATGGTTTATATGCATGCAAAGTCTACCATGTTGCTTGCATCTCTAATATGCAGTCCAAAAATGCAGATAATCAGGCATGGAATATGGAATTTTAGACGTTGATTGGTGATAGATAGATCCTACTAACTATGAGAAGTAACTCTGAAATGTTTAGCCAACCTGAATAGAAGAGAAGGCGATATGTGACAAAAGATTTGAATGGTCACTGGTTCAAGCTGTGACGCCTTCTTAAGAAGGTAGCTGCTGTGAAGCTATTGGATTATAACCTCATAGACTTTATCTTTGAGGTCAATGTTCTCAAGCTGAAATTGAAAAACTAGACAAAATTAATGTGTGAACCGGATCGAATGCATATATGTCAAAATCATACATTACAATATGCATAATTTTCAATGCTGACCAAACTACCCTGGAATAATTCACTTAAAGTCAGATGGTCATCTAGTAATTTGAAACTGTCGTAACATTAGAAAAATGGCGGGGAATACGATAAGTATTGTCTAGGGAGCAAACTTAGTGCAGCAAGAAATTAATAAAATCACATTATAATTTAAAATTACTGATCTGCTTTAAAAATCACAAAGTCAATAAAGTTTTAAATATAAAGAAAAAGACAAAGAAGTTAAACATGTCAAATAATAACCATCCATTGGTACTGATTGTTGTGAGTGGAACTGCAAGCCGATTTCTTTTGTCAAATCACAAGACTAATTTGATCAAAAGAAATATTTCGCGGATTTTAACTAACTAGATGTCTAATGTGAACTTATTATAGACTTATTAAAGATAATCTGACAATTCAGTTGATATCATGGGAGATTGATTGCAAAATTTTCAATCCAATGAACAGCAATAGTAATGGTCTTTCTATGTGCCTCTTAACGAGCAGGAGTGAATCTCACGCACAAGTCCCTCTCAGAAGAGCATATAGATACAAAATTCTCAATTATCATCTTTTCTAATTCCTGGACAACACAAAACACGTCATTCTCAGAAAAGATTAAAAAGGAATCAAATTCTTAAACCTCACTATAATTCAAAAACCCATATTATCGTCTCACCAAATAAAAATAAACAATACTCAAAACCGTGTTTTGACTGTTCAACGGAATCATAATATAATTGTACTTCGTTGCTTACTAATGTTAAGATAGATGATTAATTCATCATATATGCATTCTACTAATACTAACTTAACAGCATAAGTTCTCATGAACGTAGAACCGCAGCATTTTTAATTTCACTTTATACGGATGCAGGGTAAAACAGTAAGAACATGAACGCATCCTTCATTCAGAACAAGACAACAACCAAAATCTAAACTTTTCCCAAGTCCTACTACCCTTTAGGAGTTATGAACCACTAACTGCTTATTCCAAAATCCTAAGTTTGGAGAATAAAGTCTACAATAGACACCTAACACACCTATCCTTCTTAAGCTTCTCATGCAAGCCATTGATAGTGGAGGATTCCAATTACACTAACACCCCAAGTATTCTTTATTTCTTCACAAATGCACTTTAACCCTTCCCATGTCATAATAGGTGTAAAGCACCAAATAAACTACCAAGGGAGAATGACCAAACAACACACGAAAGTGAAACAAACAAAGTAACAGACAAATATGTACATGGTATTTGCATCAAGAGAGAATACCCAGAAATTAAAGAGTAAACAGCTTGGCTTTCCATTCACCACGTACCATCGGTTTTCCTTCTCACATGTCTCTCTGAAAAGACTCTAACTCTACTTTTGAACGTGGAACCCATAAACACAGAGAAGAGAAAGTGACAAAAACAAACACTGCAGGGCTTGGGAATGGAGCAGTTAAATTAATGAAAAGAAACTAATAGAAATCGGCAGTGAGAAGATAGTTTCTCTTTGAACATGTTGTTTTACCAAATAGACCACTTTGTTGTTAAGGAAAAAAAAAACCCAATTACTGTCCAGGTTCGATGAATCTTTGACCACAACATATGAGCGAGTGCATTGTAATGCTGGGTTCTCTTCTCTAGAATGAGAACCGATTAGTGGCTTGGTTAAGAATCGTAAACCTCGGAGGACAAACCCTGTTTGGTTGCCGAAAAAAAATGTGTATCCAAACGTCAGACAAGACCAAACAAAAAAGAAGATCCCCAAATGAAAAATAAAAAGGCTAAAGTGCTAATGTCCCCTTCACGAGGAAGTGCACTTTGTTTACACTTTACAATGCTAATTTGATGATTACAATATTTATTATTAATTAAATATAAACAAAAAGTAAATTACAATTTACAAATACAAACACACACCAGTAGAGTGTATTAACCAAACGTAATAATTATATTATACTACGAAAGAAAAGTCAGAGAGCTACGAAACCTAGGTTTTTGTTTTAATAAAAAATTCATAAAAGTCATTGCTGATGCTTGCTGCAATCTTTTTGCGTGGCTTTGCGGGACCTACAAGTCTAAAATAGTTTAAACCATGCACAAGGATGTCAAAACGTCCACGTTCAAATTCGGCACGTGGGGATGTCAGGTTACCATTGCAGACTTTCAAAATTCAAAGTTTGAACAAACTTTCACTTGTTTTATAATCTCCAAACCATTTTTTCTAAACAAAATGTTGGCTACTCTCATATCAACTCTATTATATTTTTTTATAGATAATTTTAATATTAAATTTTTAAATAAAAAATAATACTAAAATTTTTAAAGATTAAATATAACATTAATTAATCTAACAAATATTAATAATTTTTAAACATTTTTATCAAATAAAATATAGAAATATGAAGTAATTCAACCATGATAATTAAGTATAATAATGTTTTTATGATTTCTTTTTCAATAAAAAAATGTTTATTTTTTTTAATTTCTTATTTATTTTTATTTTTATTTATCATAATTATATATGAATTAAATTTTAATATTTTAAAATATATTAATAAATAAATTAACTCTTGTATATTAAATACGAATTTTTATCTTACATAAAAATATTTATAAGAGT